CATTGGACCTCTTCTATTTCTAGCGTTCGTCAATGATTTGCCAGCGCATTAATGTCAAATGTTTGGCTATTTGCAGACTACTGCATAATATATCGCATTATGAATTCGATAGATGATGAGGAAATGCTTCAACAGGACCTCGATGCGTTAAATTCCTGTTCGGAAAATAATGGCATGACTATAAATACCTCTAAAAGCAAATCCATCACATTTGACAGGGGTCATAATTACAGCAAAACACATTACCGTTTAAGTACTGAAATTATTCAGAGAGTTTCCTCGTGTACGTACCTAAGAATCCACTTCGACAGTAAAATAGCTGAAAAAGTCACGTAGATTTTGTTGCAGGGAAAGCCTGGAGATCTCTTCACTTTGTAATGAAATCTTAAAAAAGAGTATCGTAAACGCAGAGTAAATTGCGTATTTATCTTTTGCTCGTCTGATAATGGAATACGGAGCAATTTGATGAGGCAAAATTATGCAGTGTAAACAGGATATGCACGGAAAATATTTAGCGTAGGACAGCAAAGTTTACGTTCAGGTACAAGAAAATGGCAGGGTGGGATTCACTCGAAATCAGGCGAACAATGGCAAGACTGATGCGTTTTCTATAAAGCTTTTAGAGGTCATCAATCTTGCAAAGAAATTAATCGGCGGCTAAGTGTTTCTACGTACATCAGTAGAGGAGATCACAGACTCAAAGTAAATTTAAGACCGCAGAGAACAGATGTCGGGATTTTTTTTTTCACAAATCGAATGAGAACGGAATGGAACACATTGCCTGCAAAATCTTTGAACCCTTTTCTCGAAGCATTCAACAGTTTTGGAAATTAATTTAGGATATTTCTAAGTTTTTGAGGGCCTTAACAAAGAATATTAGGTTATACAGTCAAGTGAGGGGTCATGCAGTGTAGAGCAGAGCAGAAAAATACTGAAGGAAGTGTTTTAAATGCTATAGTGTAATACAGTGCAGTAAAGTGATGAAGAGTGCAGTGCCAGTGTAGTGCAGTCTTAATTGTACAAACATTCGGTGTGGATTTAGATTATAGACGTTTCTTTTCTTTCTCTTCATGTAAGTTAATGTTTTATGAATCATAAGTTTTATATTATTATTATTATTATTATTATTATTATTATTATTATTATTATTATTATAATTACTATTACTATTATTACTATTATTATATGAGTTATACACATTGCACTTTAAATAAATTTATCATATCTTTATATGTTTATTATTTAACAAAAATCTATGATACCCTCCCCCAAATGATCGGCTGGACTCGCCCTTGTTTGGAAGCCAGTACAGAATAAAATCATTAACACATTTTTATATCCCTAGTTTCCATCTACCGAATGACTGTCATGAGCGAGCTGACAACTGTGCTAACAGACTTCCTCGACTTTTCCGCAGACGCTATCAAAAGATCCCTCTTGAAAGCATGCCGTACAGCAGCCATCATGTGGCAGCCTGCCCTTCGCCCTTTCGCCGCCCTCGCTCACGCCAAGGACCTCCTCGCTGCCGGCATGGCACTACGGCGGCGGGGGCGGGGCGGGGGCGAGGAAAGAGGGCTTGCGGAGCGGGCTCCGCGCCAACGCGAACCGCGTCTCGTCCCAACCCTCCGCGTCACTCTTCTCCGCCCCCCCTCCCCCGCGCCCCGCTCCTCTCCTCTCCGCCGCGAACCCGCTCCCACTCCCGCTTCGGCCCGCGCGCGCATCGATGGCGGCGGTGGGGCCTTGAGCAGCGGGGAGGCGTCGTGGGTTTCGGGTGCTCCGCGGCGCTTCGAGGGGTGTCCGGCGCGGTTTGGAGGTTTCTGAGGCTCACAGGGGACGTCCGAGAATGGGCGACATCTGTGGAGGCCCGTGGGCGTACCGCTTTCGGTGGCTGAGGGTATCTATTGACGACCTCTGGCCGGAAGGTCTCAGAGTTGGAGTTCCGACTGTGGCAGCATTTTAGACTCTAGGTACATAGCTAAATGGAATTCAATCACTTCCTGGAGGAGAATTCTAGCGGCCGGCTGCTCCGTTCGGTAGTTTTCGATGGTTTCTCTTAAAAATACAAGACGAATACCGGAGCGAATATCATACCCTAACAAATGGGCGATGAACCCCGCGCCATCTTTCATCCTTCTCCCTTGACCTATCCCAATCCCTTACTTGACCCCACACAATTTCACTTACACGCACTACACTATCAGGATATGTCGGGACATCAATCGGGACCTTAGAGCATCTCCAGGCTGGTTGGAGATACCTGGTTGGGGAAAACCCCATAAGCCGACGCGTGAGTCTGCGCCAGATCTCTCTATCCAGCGGGGGAAGTTCACTGCCCCCTCCCGCCGATAAAGACATTTACAGGTAAAAATATTAACATTACACTTACGGAACTAATGACCTTAGATTTGAAACGCATGTAAACTCCGATCAAACAATCAGTCGGCGGGGGTCAGAGACGGTAGTGGACGTCCAGAGGCGAGTAAAAAGGTCGGAGGGTCATGGGGGGAGAGGGGGCGAGAGAGAGACGTCTAGGGTGTGAGGGCGTCGGGGGCATGTGGAGAGATGGGGGCGTCGGAAGGGGCGGCGCTGTCGGGGGCGGCGTCTCGGTCGCCAGACTCGTTTCGGATGCAGTCTGCGTCCAGAAAGAGGTCGATGCAGATACGCACGCCGCCGCCCACACGTCGCCACCGATCCCACTCGCCCGGAGGCGGGGCGCGCCGCGGCGCCTCGAGCGAAGTGCTGGGGGCTAGGGACCTCGGCGAGAAGTGAGTGCAGCAGCAGGGCGCGGAGTCGCGTAAGAAAAAGGTTTCCACTCATGTCAACAAATTTTGATGCAAAATTACGCTTACTTTTATCTGCCAAAAATAAAAAATTTTCAATTTTTTATCCAATCAATTACAAAAAAAACGTATAAAATAGCATTCAATAGATTCCACAGAACTTCACCACATGCCTCTATTTGGAGATAAAATGGTTATTTTGAGTAATAATATTCTGCATATATAAAACAGTCATTTAGTATTTTTCTAATGCGAAACTTTAACACTAAAGAACAACTATAGTATATTTGTAGGTCAGAGACTATTTTCTTCGCTTAGAAAATATAAATGAAGTGACAAAGAAAGAGCTGGACACGTGTCCTGAGTGAAGCAAATTAATAATAAGATAAATGTTTATTAACGTCACTAACATTAAGTTAATCGAACCGTTTCGTTTTGTTTCCGTGACAATATAATACAAGGTCGCCTTACGAAATTTAAGCATTGAGAAATCGTGGAATGGAATCCTACATCTCGAAGTAAATCTCTTCTTTCGATTCAACAATTTCTCATTAAGTGCAGTAGTGAAGCAAACAAGTTTTGTAGGGCATTGAGAATTAAGGCGAAACCTACAAGAGAAGGCCTGGTGCAGGTGGTCTGCATTCCTACACGTCTTGGTTCTTATTTCTGAACTTATTGCTCGTGAATGTTGATATTTAATACATATTTATTATTTAATATTCACATTAATGCAAACACAATCAATATACTGATTTGTTAAATTTTTTTTCGGTGTAATTTAATTTTTAAACAGATCAAAGGAAACAACCCTGATCAGTGTCCGTCCAAACATATGTTAGTTGTTTCGCGAATGGAGGTTACTGGTGGTTAAAGGGATTAAGCACATCCAGTAACTGTAGAAAAAAGAAAATCTTAAACGATGGCTCTGATCTATGTTCCCATTTCGGTTGTGAATAACTGCTCAATCACTGAAAAATTACTCATAATGATCCTCAAATCTTTCCTCGTTTTCAAGCTGTTCTTGCCAAGATTCGTTTATGGAGCGTTGACTGTCACAATCTAGAGGATAAAACAGTATCTACGTTGGCAGAGACGCGAGCAGGTCACAGTTGAACGTGTCATCCGGCACAGAGCAATATTTCATAATCCCCACTTCCCCATCCCCGCAGTTCAAAGCGAAACATCATTTTAAAGGAATAGGACGGAGAAGGCTGTGAATCTCAATATGTGGTCATCTCGAATGATTCTGTTTCTGTCCGCGTAAACTGCCATGTTCATTAGTCCCGTTGTTGTAGTGCATATTATTTCTCGGGAGGAAGCGATGTTGCCCTTTTAAACGAGAGATCCGGCGCCGACCAATACGTCACCTTGCGAGGTTCCCCCTCCAAGTAGTTTCGCCAGTTGATAGCCGCCCCAGTCGAGACAAGTTCTGGTCTCCCAACATGTACCGTAGTGTAGTACACAAAAGGGGAGAGAAGGGAGAATCATGAGAAAGGAAAGACGGCCTGAAATCCGTCGCCCGTTTCTTAAGTCACTGATAGGGTCTGGCTTTCACCACCTACACATCACGAACGTTTGTCTGAACTTGAATAAAGTCTGTGTAGCAGACCTACCCAAAATACCGGCCCTAGATATGCTGGTAAGGTCACACCATACACGAGTAGTCACCAGGCCAAACGCAATAAGTCAAACACAATTCTGAAACCCTAGGTTTGTAGAGGGGGTTCAGCGGGCTGTACTTAAAGGGAACGAGATTTATCCCCTTTCGCTAGTAATCTGGTAGCAAGGGTTTTTCTGTCGAAAATTTTCCATTTTCTTGCGCACGATTACGATACTCTCTCTTTTTACGAAGTATCGGCGAGAAAGTAAAAGGAATGAGTGGAGGAAGAGGCTCCAGTAATGTTCCGCGCATTATTCCGGCCTCGGTGCTCTTATTCACGTAGGCTTTCGGTACGGCGTAGCAAACACTAATGCAGCGGCGACTCGCACCTGTTGTAGTGTGTCTGTGCTACAACGAAACAAAGTTCGCTATTTAAATATATTTAGTTACAATATTTGTTTCATTTGTATAATTTCTCTCGGGAGGTCATAATAGTATTAGTGTTTGCTTACATTAACTACAAATAAAATTGGAAAGAATAATCCAGGCACATAATGTAGGACTTTAACTCTGAGATGCTACCTTGGCGCTTTCGTGATAAAGCATATGGGACTACATACCGCAGGCTGCCAGCCGAGGACATCGGGTCGTTGAGGGGCGTGGACGTTCATCGCGGAAGTCAATCTCATCAGGGGAGGGTACAGGGGTCGCCAGGTGAAGGGGAACAAGCGATTGACCTTCTGAACGTCGCGCAGAAGGCATCTCTGCGGGCGGATACTTCGTTAAGAATTCATTCATAGTAATTAAAATATAAAAACTTTTTAGTATACATTTACGGTTCAATAGAAGATACGTTTCAATAGTTACACTTGCATAGCTCATCTTCAAAACTGTCGTAAAAACAAACCAAATGCCCTCTGTATCGGGATGAACGACACTTGATCCGTTAAATCCTGACTGTTTTCAAGTCCCCGTAGAGCGTCGCTGGCGACTGTGGTTGTTGACGGAGCCCACCGTCAGCAAAAACTCAGCCACCCACTTTTTTTTATTTTATTTTATTTTTTATTTTATTATTATTATTATTATTATTATTATTATTATTATTATTATTATTATTATTATTTTGTGAACCAACCCAGCATAATTTTGTGAAACACCAACTTTTGAAGACACGAGCCGCCACTCTCCGTTGTATAATATATAAATCCACTTCTTTGCCTCGGTGACGTAGGAGCTAGTTCAAGCAGAAGGTTGCTTAGTCAGAGTGGCAGAGTTCAGAGCGTTATATTATATTCTTTCGATGCACGATAATTTTGCCAAAATTTCCAAATATCTGTTTAGTTTACAGAAGGGATTCAGAGACGTCGTACGGTACGCATCATAGCCATGTACGGTAGTTACAAGAATATTTAACACGTACAAAGTCTGTTATCAGGAGTCAGAGAATTTTCTGACAAGCCAGAAATACTACAATAGAAATAGTCGTCAAGTTTACTCAATGAGGCCATCAAGCGCTCTAAATCACGGCCCAAATACTCGGCGTACTAAATTCTCATCGTTTTAAAATCCGCCATCCTAATTTGTGGGCGTCATACTAATATGTAAGCTGCGAACGTCCGGGAGCTGTGCAAAACAGATGGTAAAGTGAGCGACAACTAGCACAGACTCTACGTGCATCTCGGAGGCCTCGTATACCGTCCAGGGCATGAACTGCAAACTGAAGGCGCTCGTAAACTGGTGGAAACTTAGCTACATGTTGGCGCGCTGCAAGGTGCATTCTGCATGTTGCACAGCCGCAGAAACCTCCGTGTGCTCGTTAAATCCTGTCATTTAAGACTTCTTCCATCTACGGTTTACGTTGTTCGGAATACTTTATTAGTTATGACCTCCTTTCGTCAGGTTCCTTATATGTGACAACATAAAAGAGAAGTACGTTATTTTACTGTCTAGTACAATGAACGGTCGCTTCGCACGTACAGTTTATGAATCCGAGGAATGCACGAGTAATAACTGCAGATTGTAAATAGTTGTCGGACAGTGACTCGATTGTATTTTCAACGTAGGAGTAGAAAAGAACTTTATTGCTGATGTAACGAAATTGTACCTCGATTATTCTTTATGAAGGAAGAATGCCATTAAATGCATCGAAATTCCGGGAATGTTTTTTTTGGTAGAAAAGAACAATTCGAATTCTCTGTGTACAAAAATGGTATGGAATTTCCGGAACTGTCTCTTTTTGGAAGAAAAGAACAATTTGAATTCTTTGTGAACAAAAACGGTACATGTCTTTTATCTCTATTTATATTCATTTTATGGGTTTGAAAAATGCAATAAAATGGATTCAATCTATTCTATAGGGAAGAAAAGAATTCTCTAGAATGGAATGCTATCAAACGTAATTTTTTAAGCAATAACAGAAATAAAGTACCGTTCGACATCATTTTAAATCTTGTGCATGAAACTATTTGAGACGAATTGCTATGTAGATGAACGATTTATTGCTTTCATGAATCTGAATATTATGAAAACAGTACAGGCAATAAAAATTCTAAGCGTAATTTTGGCGCCAATCAAGAAATCTGAATCTTAAATTTTTGTAATTGACAAATCCTATGATAAAATTTTACTTTTCTACCATGAACAGAAATCGCGCATTTTTCTCACATTCCACAAGGACAAGGTCGTAATTGTAAAGTAGAATTTTTATTAATTCGAGTATTCCTTAGAGTTCAAATCAAGTAATGAGAGAATCAAGTGCCTCAAATTCACTGTACAAAAAATGAAGGGGTATTGCTGTAAACAGATACTTTCATAATTCGCGACAGTTTTACCCGTCCGAGATTGTTTCTTGTTGAACAGTACCTAAAAGGCACGGGCAAAGGAATACCCCTACCATTCGCGCGTCCTCCTAGGCGGGCGTCTGACCGCACGTCCCACCTCCTTCCAGGCCACCCGTCCGGGTGAGGGCTCCTCACTCTCAGTTCGGTAAATGTTTAACGAAGCTGAACCCGGAAGAATCTTACGCGCCACGACGTTGCGAATACGTTTGATTGATTGATATTTAATGTTTTCGGAGGATGCCAACTACTACGGTCATTAGCTCCGTAAGTATATAGGTGGCAGTATTCCCCCACCACGCTGAAAGGCGCCGACGTGCGCGACGGCATGAAATTTCCCCCCTCCAGATATCTCCCCCCCCCCAGCGCGACAGCGTTTCAGACTGGACGACGTACAAACTCCCGACTGGTCTCTCAACTTGTTGGTACGGTATGGCCTGTGGTAGTACATGTAAGTGTGTGTAAGGGACGAAGAGCGAGGAGGGGTAATGGATGAGGAAGGAAAGATGGCGTTCGGTTCGTAACCTGTTTGCTAAGATCTCCGGTATTCGCGTGGTATAGATCGGAGAAACCGGAACACCGAAAACTACTGATCAAAGCAGACAGACTCTAGATTTCTCCTCCAGATTGCGATTTCATTCGACTTGGGTAATATCTAAAATCATCCACTGTCAGGACTCAACTCTAGGACTTTCCGGTTAGTAACGCAGAAGAACCAACGGCAATGCAGTCAGGATAGGTCAACCACGAAACAGTTCTCCGAAGAAAAATCGTAGGCGATGGGCTTCCCTCGTGGGGGCGTGGTGCCAGACGCTAGTGTTTGCCCGAACGTGTTAAACGGTCCGGATAAAACCGTCACGTATCCAGCACGTGCACGGACACCCTCAAGCGCCAGCGGCGGAACCCTAATCGCATTTCAGCACATCGTGGCGGGGCGCGAAATAGAGGAACGGGTCGTCTGGACGAATCGAACGGCGGCCAGCGGCCAGTG